GTGTTTGGGGACGCTGGTGTATCTGAAAGAAATTAGTCTCCATCATAAAGAAGGTCTCTGCTTTCAATTCTTTGCTTTAGTGATGAGTTTATACAAAGCATTGGCCCATTGATCCAATTTGGTGGAGTTTTTTTTTTTTTTTTTAAAGAGCAAACTCTTCCATGTTGATCATGTTTTGTTCTTCATATGAATTTGGATTCAGTGTATTTCAAGTCATTCCAGGAAAAATATGAACCTAAAAAAACAACTTGATCTGTTGGCCTATAGTGTTGGTCCAGCATGTGAAGGCCTTAGGGGCTGCTCAGATTTCTGTGGGGATGCCTCTGTGTGGCAGCTCCTCTATGCGTTCTGGAGTCCGTCTGGGAAGGGAGGGGCAAGACCCAGAAAGGACATGAGCGAACCTCCACCCTTGCCCCAGGAAAGAAGAAGAAATGGGTGTTTCAGCTGTGGTGGGCCTGAGTGAATGGAAGAGAAGGTTTGAGGGGTTGGGTGTAAGGTGGGGTGAAGTAGGGTTAATAATACCCATTGCCTTCTGGTTTCCACCAGTCTATGTGGGAATAGTGAAAGAAGAGGATGCATTCCTGTTATAGGAGTGGGCGCATAGACACATCCCAGCAGGCCAGGAGGACCCCTCTCCCTTTTCCTCTTCTCACCCAACACCAAGCACCAAGAGGAATCATCATCTTTAGCAGAAAACGATGTTAATTTTTGATTTGTGTTATCCACAGTTATTTGGTGTGCACTATTGCCACACACACACACAGTGTATACAAATATACACATTTTAATCATGAAGATATATATGCTACGGTGGAAGGACAGAACATGTAACAGCTTGTTAGGTCGATGTCTGGCTTTTCAATACATAAACATATGGTACAAAGGACCCTGTTTATACTCTTGCTTCGAGCCCTGATTGCAAAGTAATGACCAGCCTACAGCACTGGCTCAGAAAGGGGTGTGAGAAATTACCATGCCCAGGAGTAGCGTAGACATACTTAACTGAACATGTATAATAGAGAGAGGGCTGCATGGTAGTTGACTAAAAGGACTCTCGAAGAGAGATGGCTGGAGAAGAGGGAGGAACATGGGTCCAGAAGTTAGTATGAGAGCTCTTCAAGTCCAGTCCAGAGTCCCCCTGCAGTGGCTGGAGCCAGGATATCTGCAGAGTTAGTTCTTTTGTTCAGAATTCAGCATGAGGTAATAGGAGCCTCTCCCAGTTACTGGCCCCATTCTTTCCAATTTTCAGTTAACCCTCAGAGCCTTGTAGAAAATAAATGAGCCAATGGAATTGTGTGGATTAAGTTGAGAAAACTCACGTGAAAAGTCTTCAAAAACAGCAGTGAGCTCTGCAAATGCTAGATGATAACATACGAGGCAGCCCTTTGGTCTAAAATGTTTTTCCTTGAAAGCTTTAATTCTGTTGGAGTATTTTTTGGTGGGACCACATTTTAGAGGACACACAGTTTTATGGTAGAGGTTCTTCTTTTTTTCAAAATAGAGATGACCTTTGGAGAGCATTTTGCGGGAGCACTTCTGTTTCCCAGATCGAGGCATGCCATCTTCCCGATCGGCCCGGGGTGTCCACGTCGTCAGCGTGCTCGAGCTGGCTAGCCTTTGTGTGCGCACACTCGCGGGTGTGAGGAGCCATTCATTCGGCGACGATCCTTCTGGTACTTTACTGTCAGCGAGTCTGACATATCTGTTCCCCACCTGGGATTTGCAGCTCTAGATAATCGAGTCACACTTTGTTAGTAAAGTGGGGTTAATAATACACGTCGCCTTCTGGTTTCACCAGTGTGTGTGAGTAACGAGAGAAGAGGACGTGCTCCTGTAGCAGGGGAGGGCACACGAACACATCCCATAGAGTATGTCACTCCTTGGCTTCCCTGCCACTTCAGATCTAGGCTCCACCGTTGCCGTCTGGCATCCTTGGCCAGCATTAATTTTATTCCATTTGTATTCCAAGTTGCTATTCCCTTTTTGGTGCACATTCGTGCTTAAGATCTATTTGTCAGCTGTTGTGTAAGGGAACACATACGTTCGTCAGTATTCAGTAAACACATAACACCCCAGAGAAATGAAAGTTTGAATCTGAAGTTGTTAAGTGTAAGAGGCAGTGAAGACGGCTGTAGGAAACTAGTGAACCATTCGCATGCAAGTTCGTCTCATTTTTTACGGATTTACCATAGGTTAATTGATTTTCATTTCTTTAAAGACCCCGGTTCCAACTCTTTTGTTATAGTCGGCATGATTACTGAAGTCAGGAAGAGCTAAATAATGCAGCTGTTTCCTGAGCCACGTCCAATACCGTTTAGAAACTGCTCAGTATCGACGCTCCTATTCTAGGCCATGAAGTCCCTGGTGAAATATTATTTTTAATAGTTTAGGTCTGTCATGGTTCTAATTTCAGTGCTCTTGAATGTTTACCATCTGAAGCTCTAGGCTTAGGAGAGAAGCTCACAGGGCAAGATGACCTATTTCTACTCTTCCCCAAAGAAAGATTGTAGTTTGAAACAATCTAATAGAAAACCCGTTTTAATGGGATCGTGCACATGCATGCGTGAGCATGTGTGTGGTTGTGTTCTGTGTGTGTATCTCAGGGAAGTTACTAGGAAATGCTTTTTTTACATAGTAAATATGGGAAATACTTCTGGAAAGTTAGATCCCTTTAACTATTCAAGAAGCATCTCCCACTGTTAAAGAGAGCCCCACCCCTACAAACTAAACAGAATTCAGATGGATGTAGGAGAACTTAATGTTCTCATTTTTAAAAAGGTGCGTTGCTTCTTCATACATGAATACGAATATTGTTTGCTTAGACGCTGCAAGCTTTTTTGGCTACTATAGATTGCATGTGGGAGGGACCTCATCCTCTTCTCCCTCTCCTTCCAACATCGAGATTCTAACAGCAACTTGGATGGAGGTACAATGAACCTATAAGCCTGCATCTCGCAGGTAGCATGAGTCGCAGGCTCATTATAACTGGCACGGGTTTTCAAGTCCTATTCCTGTTACCAACACACCCTGAACGGCCCCTCATCATGGCTACAAAAGAGTCTAGACACAGCCAGTTTTAGTTCTTCCTACACCTTAGTGATGTAGACAAGCTGATGTAGAACTCAGGTCCTCTCCGTTCTCTGAAGCAGGCTTCGTGTCTTTCTGCGTCCATGCTCTGCATTTGAGATCTTTGCCGTGATGCACCCGCGCTCAGCCAGATTCAGAACCACACATGTGCCACCTGGCAATTAGCAGCGGACAGTGACTTGTGCTTGAGTCACTCATTCAGAACCCCTGTGCCTGAACCGCCCCCCCAGTTAATGCTGGGTCTACTTTTGTTTGAATTGTGTCGTCTTTAGTCACTAATCTTACCACTTTGATCCCTGTCTCCAATTCCCATGGATTGGATTCTGATACTTTCTCTCCCGGATAAATGCCTTGACTCTCTGTTTAGGTTCTAACTCAATTTTATAGGTTCCATTTCCCGTCACTGGCGACTTGACCAGCCTTTGCCGTTTTTGAGCAGCAACTATTGTACTTCAACGTGACAAATTGCCTTTCTTCTCAAATTCTGTTTCATGTCCTCACATTTCTCTGTCTTAATGGTTATTAACCTTTGCCAACCATCCACCTCTATATTCCATTAAATTTTGGGTGTGTTAGGTGAGTATTCTTTTTGATGTTAAAGATCAAATATAGCAAACGCCAGGTAAACAAGTGTATACCCATTTTTTACACGTAAGTGATTGCTGATGATTTAGAATAGAAGCTTGTTATAAAGGCAGAGGAACTTTCTTCAGCAGTTTTCTGTGCTGAGCACATGTCCTCTGACATAATCTTATCTGATCTTTGTTTAAAAGGGTTTCTTGATTGATTGATTTCTCATTGATGCACTGTTGGCACCAAAGAGTTTCTATTTATTTGCACAAGTATGCACTGGCATTAAATAATTAATTTTTATGAGCTCCATCAAAGGATATGTTTTATTCTGCTGTTAAGTATTCATTTGGTGGCGTTCTTTCTCCCCCCAGTGGGTGCTGGAAGATCAATTTTTTTTTTTTTTTGGCCATTTCCTCATGTTTATTTTTAAAAACTCAAATCAGGGTCCAAGAAATCATCAGTGTCAGGAACACTTCAGAAATTCTCTATTACCTATTGTGATATTGTCTCCATTCTTCTTTCTCAGTTATAGAAATAAGTTCTTCCTGATTGGATCTCGACCCACGCAGTCAGGAAACAATTGCTTACCACATCCATCAATTCTGTCTGCACGTTATCATGTTTCAAAGGTTTTCCAATTAATCCTGGGGAAGCTAGAATCACTCATAATTATAATCCTGTTATGCCTTCTTTTATTTCTTGATGTGCTTGTTAATTCCTGTCCATCCCGCGGTGGTCTGTAACATAGTGCTATTATCAGCTCTTTCGTCCTTAAAAGCCTCTCGTCTGCCATTTTGACAAAGATTGATTAACTGTACTTTGTTGAAATCAATCATTTTGGATTTTAAAAATCTATCCTGTATATTTCTTCTGGCTACCTTTGCATGATTTCACTTTTTTTTTTTTTTTTTGCAATTAATCCACCAACCCAGTTGCTTTCCTTTTTTGGCTTCGTTTCTCTTACTCTTTTCTTATTTAAGAGCTGTCTATCTTTATCTCTTTATTTCTCCTGTCCTCTCATAGACAGCACCTCCAGGAAGAAAGGACAGTTGCAGGAGGCAGTGGAATCAATTCTCCTTTAGACCCTGGCCAGACACTACTCCCATTTCCTTTTTCATAAAATGAGAAAGATAGTTCTTTTCCTAAGCGATCCTCCCCCTAAGCAGTTTCTGGGGCAAAAGCCTCACGATTGGCTGCCAGCCACTTTGCAGTGACATTGTCACATGCTTTTCAATTATAGCTTCAGACTCCTCCGTATGCTAATCTTACCAGGTAGACTCAAACTGAGACACCAAAATTCTTTTGGACATACTAATTAATATTTTCTTTTCTTTTCCTAGGTACTGACTTTAACATAGATAGTTTACCTCTGCCTAGGAAAGCCCATCACGACTGGGCCCTTTTTCATGAAGAGTCCCCGAAAAACAATTATAAGCTCTTTCATGAGCCGGTCATCACCTTGTTCAACTACACTGCCACATTCAGCAGGCACTCCCACTTGCCACTAACCACCCAGTACTTGGAGGGCATAGAAGTCCTGAAGTCCCTCCGATACCTAGTTCCTCTGCAGTCCAAGAATAACCTTAGGAAAAGACTTGCTCCGCTGGTGTACGTACAGTCAGACTGTGACCCACCATCAGATAGGGACAGCTACGTTCGCGAGCTGATGACTTACATCGAGGTCGACTCCTACGGGGAGTGTTTACGAAACAGAGATCTCCCCCAGCAGCTGAAAAGCCCAGTGTCTATGGATGCCGATGGCTTTTACAGGATCATTGCCCAGTACAAGTTTATCCTTGCTTTTGAGAACGCGGTGTGTGACGACTACATCACCGAGAAGTTCTGGAGACCCCTGAAGCTGGGCGTAGTCCCCGTATATTACGGATCCCCCAGCGTCACAGACTGGCTTCCAAGTAACAAAAGTGCTATTCTCGTCTCGGAATTTTCTCACCCCAGAGAGCTGGCAAGTTACATCCGACGACTGGATGATGATGACAGATTGTATGAGGCCTACGTAGAATGGAAGCTGAAGGGTGAGATCTCTAACCAGAGGCTTCTGACAGCTCTCAGGGAACGGAAATGGGGTGTGCAGGACATCAACCAGGACAATTACATCGATGCCTTTGAGTGTATGGTGTGCACCAAGGTGTGGGATAATATCAGGCTTCAGGAAAAGGTAAGCGCATCAGGGTCTGGCAGAGAGACACTAGGCTGGCCACCTCCATGGTCTCTGCCCTCCTGCGTGGCTGCTGCACTTCCGTCTGTGGTGGCCACCTCATTACTGTTCTTTATCCTATGGGGAGGCTGGGCTCTGCAAGATGGTTGAGTACTTCATTGTTCTCTTTGGGACTGAAGTTTACAAGCCATGCCCTTCTTCCCGAGGGCCTTCAGTTCTCCTTGATGTTTCTGGAGGATAGCTGCACTGCAGGTGCCAGGCAGTGACCCAGGGAAACTGTAGAAAGAGGGGAGAAGGCCCAAACATAAAAAAATTAAAGCTTTGCATTTCATCCACATGGTCAGTCCTTTAACCTCTCCGTTGACGCTGTGGCAAAGAAGTACGGTGACTTCCACCAGAACTTTTACGCTTAGACCCCGTGGCCGCCATTTTGAAACTCATTTTCATTTCTCCTACACAGTTTAACCCTCTTTTGCTCCTTCGCTCTCTGATTCTTGCCTTTTGTCTTTCTAGAGTACACAATGCTTGTTAATATATAAACTATTCAAATAATGATGGAGATAATTCTTAAAACACTTTTTCTTAAATTATTAGGAAGTTGATAGCAATGTCTCCACATGTCTAGATTACTTCTGACCCTTGTTTGCTTACTTTATTTATTTATAATGGGAATGATCCCACTTTATGTATAACTGAATTTGTTAAAAGGAAATGTGTAGGAAAAAAAGATTAGTTTCAACTTCTCTTGAAATTTTTAAAAAGTGAAGGGGCCCACACATACCACTTGCCTGCCTCCTTGATACGCATAACGTTTTATCTAAATTCTCAGAAGGCAAACAAATTCTGTTAAATATTTAAATGTTTATTTTTGCTTTTATATTAAGTTCAGGTCAAGCATAAACGTAAACAGTGTGTGAAATTATTTTTACATATTGTATGAATACTATATAGGGTTTTTATATACTAAATATGTATCTGTTTAGACAAATTTAAAATAGTTGAAACATTATTTTTCATAATTTAAACAATTATGAAAATTTAAGTTCTTCTATCTGGTTTTATGTAACATTTTAGCTCATGAAATCATTTATTTTATGCTGAGTGTCTTGGTCAGCAACAGGAACACTAAATGTTATGTCATTCTTCTTAAAGAATGCATCCTGATTTCCAGTGACTTCCTTTATGATCTAATTTATATGGCTACATTACGGCAAAAAATAAAATACACCACCCCCACACATGTGCACGCACACACATGTACACATAATACACATACAACTGTGAAGATTCATGAGAGAGTAGAGTCCACGTTAATGGCCCATGCTATACCAATTATTTATTCTGAAAGTATATCAAAGCAGAAAATAGAATTTCTGAGGATGATGACTGGCCTGGGCTAGCTTTCAAGATCATTTCAGGGCTTGGAGATTGTGTTCACAGAAAATTGAAACAACTGTGCAAACCCTGACTGCTCCTGTGCCTCACTGAGCCCTGATGGGTGGTTAGGCAGGGTATGATGACATTGGTGAACAGCTTTTAAGTAGATGTAGGAGGTCATTCCTGCTTTCCCAACAGAAACAGCTAACTGGTGGTGGCATTTCAGAATGCCTGACAGTGGTATAATTGAACGTCCTTCTCTTTGGACTCATTGAGGAAAATGAGCTAGAGTGAGCTTTCCTCCAGTGTGCTCTGATTTCTCCCAGAGGTGGTCAGTGAAGATGATCAGAAGGCTTTGCTTGCATTTCAATGAAGTAGTTACAATTCTAAAATGCTAATGTGCTCATTATTGAAAAGTAGAACAAAACATACTATGAAAGCAAATTAAAAGGCATTAGACCAGTTTTTATTTGCACTTATTTCACCAGATTTATTACAGCAAAACTTAATGTAAGCTACTTGAATATAAATTTCTTCTTTTTTTCTCTTTTAGCCAAAGAAAAGCTGAAAGAAATAATTTGATTTCCTCTAACTCTGACTATTTTTATCTTGTAATTGATAATCATTTAAATTGTTGTGTTTGGATGCAGACGATACTATTAGAATATCAAATGCATTTTCCATTTGTCTACTCTGCTTCTGCCCTCCTCTCTCTCTCATAGGTATGCAGACCTAGTGTATTAGCGATCTTTTGCTGTTAACAATATTACCACAAGCTTAGTGGCTTAAAACAACATACATTTGTCATCTCACAGTTTCTGTGGGTCAGGAGTCTCATCGTGGCCTACCTGGGCCCTCTGTAAGGCTGCGTCAGGGTGTCAGTCAAGGCTGTATTCTCATCTGGAGGCTCAATCAGGGAAAGGTTTGCTTCTACACTTATATGATTTTTGGCAGATTCTTGAGGCTGTAGGATCAAGGGCTTTAGTTTCTTGCTGACAAGAGGCTGGAGGCTTCCCTCAGCCCCAAGAGGCCACCCACAGTTCCTTGCCTTGTGGGCTTCCCCACTGGGGCTGCTCACTTCCTCAAAGCCAGCAAAGAGGCCTGAGACTCCAGCAAGGCCAGTGCCATGGTCTTATGTACATAATCATACATACCTGGTAGCCTTTGCCATATTCTGTTAGCTAGAAGCAAGCAAGAGGTGGCACCCACATGCAAGGTTCTGTAAACTGAACATTTGTATCCCCCATCCCCAAATTCATATGTTGAAATCCTAACCCCCAATGTGATGGGTATTTGGAGGTGAGGCCTTTGGGAGATGATTAGGTCATGAGGGTGGGACCCTCATGAATGGGATTAGTGCCCTTGTTTTAAAAGAGATACCAGAGAGCTCTCCTGCCTCTTTCTGCCACATGAGGACACAGTGAGAAGATGGCCATTTATGAACCAGGAAACAGGCCCTCGCCAGGCACTGAATCTGCTGGCGCCTTGATCTCGGACTCCTAGCCTCCAGAAGTGTGAGGACTAAATGTTTGTTGTTTGAGCCACCCAGTCTATTGTATTCTGTTATAGCAGCCAGAGTGGACTAAGACACAAGGCCGGGGGGTGAGGCACAGATTACACAAGGGTGTTAATACCAGAAGGTGGGGACCATGGGAACCAACCCCAGTGAATCCGAATAAGCTTATTCTCTACTTTTTGCACTTTCACTGTGTAGGGGAAAGTGAGCACTGAAGGGGCCACCCCATGAGTAAATTTTATTCCATTAAAGAGTATTTATTGATACATGATCCATCCTCAAAGAGGCTATAATGGGGAGACAACATGGAATCATCAGAAATATAGCTTCATGGGATTGGGATCAACTTTTTAAAACAATTAGCTTTATTGAGGTATAATTATATACGATAAACTGTGTATATTAATGTCGTACAGTTTGATTGGTGATTATACAGACACCTGTGAAACCATCCCCATAGTCAAGATGACAAACATTTCCATCATCCCCCCAAAACTTCTTCATGTCCCTTTCTAACCCATCCCCCTCCACTCCTTTCCTCAAGCAGCTACCCATCTGCTTTTTGTCACTTTTGACAAAGAAGCCCAGGCACTTTTCTGGAATTTTACATAAATGGAATCACGTAATATGCAATGCTGTGATAATGTTGACATTCATGATCATTTATCAGTAGTCCATTTCTGAAGTACACATGTACCAAAATTTGCTTGTCTGCCTACCTGTTAATGGACATTTGAGTTGTTTCCAGTTTTTGGCTATTATAAATAAAGATGCTATGAACAGTTATACAAAGTGTGAATGTATAAGTTTTCATATGGACATATGCTTTCAGTTCTCTTCTGTAAATATCTAGGAGTGTAATGGCTGGGCTCTATGGTAAATGTATATTTAACATTTTGAGAAATGACCAAATTGTTTTCCAAAGTTGTTCCAGCTTACCTGTTCATCAGCATTGTGAGAGTTCCATTCATTAACACTTGGTGTAGTCAGTCTTTAAATATCTGACATTCTAGTGGGTGATTTTGGAGATTTTCCCAAAACCTTTCTGATATTGATTTTTAATTTTTAATTTTTTCTAATTTTTAAAATTTATTTCTTTTTGAGATGGAGTCTCACTCTGTTGCCCAGACTGGAGTGCAGTAGCTATTCATAGGCACAATGAAAGCACACTGCAGCCTTGAACTCCTAGTTTCAAATGATCCTCCCACATCAGCCTCCCAAGTAGCTGGGACCACAGGTGTGTGTCCTTGTGCCTGGCTCTGATTGATTTTTAATTTAATTCCACTGTGTTATGAGAACATGTACTGTATGGCGTGAATCATTTTAAATTTGAGACCGGTTTTATGGTCCAGAATATGGTCTACCTTGGTAAATGTTTTTTTGTGCACATGGAAAGAATGTATTAATATATTCTGCAGTTGTTGGGGAGAGTGTTTTATAAATGTCAGTTTGATCAAGTTGGTTGATAGCTATTGTTCAAGTCTTCTATATCCTCTGTGATCTTCTGTTATTCATTGAGAGGAGTATTGAATCTGTAATTGTGGATTTGCCTGTTTCTTCTTTCAGTTCTGTCAATATTTGCTTCAAATATTTTCAGGCTGTTATTATGTACATAAGTGTTTAGTATTGTCATGTCCTCTACACAAATTGACCTGTTTATCATTTTGCTCTCTAGTCTCCTTCAGAGGAGCTGCTGGTTTGGTTGCAAATGTTCTGTTTGCCGAGCGGAAGGAGAAAGTGGAGTCTGCCAGCATTTGTATTAAAAGTTGCATGTAATTCTCCCATGTTTTAAGTCATGTGTTAGCCTGGATTCCCCCCAAAACATAGCCTGAGCAGAGGGCTTTTGTACTATTATTTTACTGGGGAGTACAATCTCAGTGAGCGAGCGTGAGGGATAAGCAGAGTGAAGTGGGGAAGGAAGGAGGGATCACACAAAGATGTGATCTTGTGCTGGCCACTACCAAGCATGACTAATGGCTTTGGCTATGGGACTGCACTCCCCAAAAGCTACATAATCTTTCTCAATATCTCTTTCTCTGTAGGAAGAAAGAAGGAAGAACTTATCCACTGGTTCCTGTCTCCCATTGGTCATAGGTTTGTCCCATGA